AGCTGACAAACCCACATCATCCATGAGTTTAACAGATAGCAACGTTATATAGCTTTCCTGAATGAAATCTTTTGCGAAGTAGCGCTCTTTTCGCACTGTTAAAGAGGTTTGTGCGGATAACATTTAAAATCGGTAATGTTGCATTTATCTATTTGCTTTGATAAATCCTGTCACAGTCTTAACCCAGTGTATTTCTTAATTTTTTTGATTAACACTGCAAATATGGTGTGGAAGGCAGATCAGAGTTTTTTCTCTTGGTTCTACTTGGCTAGAGGAAATGATAGATGTACCAGGCACTTCAGTTGAAAACGTAACAGGTTTTCCCTTGCTCGATCTTGCTTAACTTTGGTTGGCAACTGTTAAACCTTTTCAAAGCAAGCTAAAACGTTATAAGAGGATTTTTATACCCTTTTTTTGTACTCATATAAGCAACGCCGGAACATGAAGGTAGGAAGCAGATATTCATATATTCATACGTTATAATCCCTAATCACAATTGATTTCATAAGAAACTAATAGTAAAACGCACATAAATGAATATAGAGCCCCCAATTAGCCTTGTTCCGGCGTCCCTGCAGATCGTGCAAATGATTTGTGCTAAACTCATCAAGAAAATTGAGTACTGTCAAGTCTGTCAATGTGACAGTATCAGGTAAACGCCGTGTAAGCTGGATACAGTAGCTTATAATCCTCCAAAGTTTTTATGTTTTCTTTTTAATGTGCTTCTCATTTGGCTAATGCTGAATGAAAAATATTTCATCTCCAGGTCATCAAATTTCATAATGCTCACATTTACTGTGACTTCTTCGTGACGGTTCAACACGTTTCTTTTGTCACATCTGATTTTTGGGTCGCCTCTTGCCTTTTAACTGTTTAAACTTTTAATATCAATCCACTTGCTCGAAGGGAGTTTTCAAACATCGCTTTTGTTTTATTTCGTTTATCTTTATGAATTTTTGAAAATGAAAAACTTTAGACAGACATTCGAAAGTTTTTGTTTGGCGTTAACGGTAAACGGTAAACCGCAAAAAATCACGTGATCATGGCTTTGCTGCTTACGTCGCAGTTAGCAGTTCAGGTTTTGACGGCAAGATGCCCTTCTTGCGGTAAATGATGAACCGAAAGGTTTTTAATACTTTAAGTACTTAAGCAAAATGAGGAATGTACAAGTTTGAGTACACGGTGAGTGGTTTAGAAAATTTATGTGGTTTGTGAATTCTGTATTTATAGCGAGAATTGCATAATAGCATCGTTATTGTTAGGTTTGTAGTGCAAAGTTTAGTTTTGTTGTTGTAAATTTATTAGTATTATGTGTCTATGACATAAACCACATTATTTTTTTCTTGGTTCTCGCGACAAAATTTGCGAAAATTTATTTTTTGTCTTAAATAACGGGCTTGCTTAATAAATTAAGGCCATTAAAATGTTCATTTTCACATTTTCTCATGCCATTCACGTAAGAAAAGGGGACATTTAAAAATTCTTTCCACTCAAGCGTTAATTAAAAATGCTTTTGTTCTTTTTGCCAATGTAGATAAAAATTTCTTTGATTTGCAATCGACTTTATTAAAACATTTCAATTTACATGTAAACATTTAAAGAATACTGTAGTAAGCTATAAGAATTCTATTATAATACGAATTACTTAATGGTGTAAATTTTTGGATATGGTGCCAAAACTTTTAATACTGATTTTCATCTGTCGTTTAATATCTGCAGGCGCTTTTGCAACTTTTAGATTTACTATGTCAAACACCAAATCATGTGCACATATGGCTATCTTAGTAAAACACAAGACAACAGACACTCAGTATAAATAGTAAGCATTATTTAATTTATCGATCATTATTTACTAAAATACTCTGGCATTAGCTATCTGTTTACTGGTGAGTCCAAACAAAGTTGTTGGTTATGTTATGACGTGAAGATCAACTTTTCCACTACGTATATTGTGTATGGCTGTAGCTTTAGACAAAAACGTTAGCTTTATGCTTGGCAGATCCGGTTGTACAATAAATGTCAATGTTTTTCACATTCTAAACCTGAGCCTTGCAAAATCTTTAAACTGCTTGACCACATTGCTAACTTTAAAAAAAAGCATTGTTTAAGCTACAGTGCAATGAATGGCAGACGGTTCAAAAACCATTTCTAGTCGACATTGTCGTGAATAAATTTGGTAAGGCTTGGAGCAAAGTTTTGTTCTGTATGAACCAGAAAACTTGAAGGGAAGTTCCTTTTTTTAAGAACTACTCAATTGTCATTCACTATGACTAACCAGCAGTTCAGAGTTTGTAACAACGAATAAATATATGTTTAAATAATGCATTAGATAGAACGAATGAAAAACGAGACATGCAGAAACGCTGTGTTAATAACAGAAAAGGCAGTTTTGGCTCAACGAGCCTAAATTAGTTTTTTAGATCTTGTTTTTTAAAATCATTAAACTTATTTATGATCTTGGGAGAAGTGGAAAACATCGCTTGGTGTTTTATTTCGTGTATCTTTATAAATTTTTCGAAAATCGAAAAAAACTTGTAACAATTAAGACAATAAGTGTTAAGAGCACACAGAAGAAACCACTATATTTTAATATTTTGCACTCAAATTTCAAAATGGCATCGTGATTGTTAGGTTTGTGGTGTGAACTTTTGTTTTGTTGTTGTAATTTTTTTACTATTACGTTTCTATGACCCTTATGGGCCACCTTATGTTTTTCTTTTTTCTCTTGACGAAATTTTCAAAAATTTGTTTTTGGTCTTGTTTAATGTATTCGCTTAACAAATTTAAGTTCTTAAATTGTTCATTTTCCTTTTTATCGCATCATTCACTTATGAGAAGAGGATATTTAAATATTTCTTTCCTTTCAACCGTTCAGCAAAAATGCTTTTGTTGATTCGCTAAGTGCTGAATATATAATGATTTTTAGACTTGTGTTAATTCAAATTCAATTCATTGATTTAAGGGATACAAAAATGATCGAGAAGTGTCTTGAATATATACCATGGAAAAGTTTTAACTGGTTTGGAAGATTAATATTGATTATCTTTGTTATATTTGGCTTCATCGTCTCTGGTATTTCATTAAATTTATATAATGATCTCTCTTTTAATTGTTATAATGAGAAATTGTCAAAAAACAATGACAATTCTCTCATCAAAACCATTGAATCAAGATGTTTCAGACAATACAAAGATGGGCTAAATTTCAAGTATGTAATTTTTCTTGTGGTGTGCTTAAATATTGGTATTGTCTTAATTTGGAGTATGGTTTATGGATATTATGTAAAACGTCGAGTCGAGCATTATGGTCAATCCGATCCAGCAAACAATGATGGGGAAAGTAAACCTCTACATGTTGGTTATCGTGGTGAAGACAATTATAAATCTAAAAGCGTTACATTTCGATTTTCTACATTTTACATTTACGTCGTTCATTTGGTTGTTCGCCTCATTATATTATCCGTATTCGTTGGATTACTTTTTTCAGCCAAGTTTCCTATCGATTACTCTTGTTCATGGCATCCTAAATTGAAAACAACCTCATTAAATCACACTATACCCATCTCGCTTGTCAAAATCTCAACGCTGATAAAAGTAAGACGTTAATTCAGTTTGTTGCGTCTGTTGATGTCGTTTTTATAATACTGACAATCTTAGAGCTGTCTTATTTGACGATTGTAGCCTGGAAGTACAGGTTATTTACAACATCAAGAGAATTTTGTGAAGTTTATTTGTTACGAAAACGTGAAAGATTTGAAACATTTTTGGAAAAACAAAAAGAAAATTTTGACAGCAACGAAGACGTTCAAACAAATGAGGACTTTGGGGATGATCATAACCGTCCATTAAAGTTTGAGGAGATTTATGTCAATGTCATTATGCAAGCAGAAAGAGAATTAAAGAATGCTTATCCCAAAAATATAAAAGACATGAAATCTTTCAATGTCATCTAGAAATTGACATGATGCTAGACAATTGAAAATGGTGACCGAAATTTTAAGCCAATCCAGGGTGAAAAGAAACATCGTATCCACGTTCTATTTTAGTCATTGGAAGGCCAGGAATTGGTAAAACAATGTTAACAAAAAAACTTATGCATGAATGGAAAAACAATACAGATAAATATTGGCGAGATAAGCACGTTCATTTGATCCGATGTCGTGCGATTAAAAATGTTGACATTACTCTTCAAGAAATGTTGTGTGATGATGGATTGCCATATCAGATTACGAATTGATAATGTCAAATCCAGAAAAAACCGTTCTTATCATTGACGGTCTTGATGAGCTTCCATTGGATGAAAAAAATCTTGAAACTAAAGGCCCAGTGTTTGCTAAAGAAAAAATGCCAGCATTTACAGTGTTAAGTATGTTGATTAAAGGTAAACTGTTGCCAGGTGCCACTGTTCTAATAACATCACGACCAACCGCTGAATTTGCATTTAAACTTTTGAAATTTAAGAGGACAGTGGAGATCTTGGGGTTTTTTGAAGATCAAATTAAAGAATATGTTCACAAGTTTTGTGGTAACGATAAGGAATCTACCGAGCTGATCTTGAACTGCATTGATAATTCTATCGAACTTCGTAGCTTGTGCTATATCCCCGTCAACGCTTACATTGTCTGTCTGACCCTGAAAGAATGCTTTAGAAACGACGCAAAAGATATTCCAAAACTACAACTGAATTGTACAAAAGCAGTTAAAATCTTACTTCGGCAGCACCATCCAGATTTTAAAAGTATATCATCACCAAAGAATTATCTTCTCAAAGATTTACCGGAAGAACTTGACAATGACCTGAAGATAATGAAAAGCCTTGCAAAGACGGCATTGCGAAAGAGAGTTTGATTTTGAAGAACCAAGTCTCTCGAATTTTCCACATCGGGCAAATTGCGGTTTCTTTCATCAATTACCAGATAGACGACGCAATCTTTATTGTTTTATTCATTTGACTCTTCAAGAGTTCTTCGCTGCATGGTGTATTGTTGATGATTGGCAAAACATCGGAAAGTTTTGGATGATAATGTGTCTGATCCTAAATGGCATTTGGTAATAGAGTTTGTTGCTGGTTTAGTTGGAGACAAGAAGAGATCTGGCAGCATCAGAGATACTAAAACAATAGAAGATGTTGAACAACGGTAGGGTCTTTATTTTTCTTTCAAGTGTAGTTTAGGTTATTGTCCTCGATGAAATTTGTTTACACAGTTTTTAGTCCTGCTGGACAGGAAGTGCAGGAACAGTAACTACGTCTACTACATATGCACAGTTTGGTTGTTGGATTGTTATAAGAAATCGCAGCTGTTTTATATAAAGCTGGCATGTAATTATATAAGGCATAGCTTCATGCTCTTCTGCAGAGAGTTGTTTCAGTTTTGAAAATGTCGCTGGGTTTCAAAAGAGGTCTGTCTGTTTAAAAACAGTGTTTCTGCCTTTTTTTACTAAATTTGCACTTTGAAACTGACGCTGTTATCATTGACGCAGCAACCTAAAAAAAGTATCAAGGCTAAGGCCTCTTACTTAATTTATAGCGTGGGGTGCAACATCTGTTGTGTATTATTTACGCCACACAACGCTTTCAGCCGAACTATGTGGAAGTAATAAGTATGTGGCAAATAACGATTTTGACGATCAGGACAAGGCTCTTACATTGAAGTAAATATATGTAATATTATACCATAATTTATTAATGTTATGCAATCATAAATATTTTGTATTAATGATGCAATTACAGGCTAGATCATAAATTTGTAATATGATGATTTAGACAAATGTGTTCATTTCACGAGGTTTAGCAGTTAAGCAAAGGTCTGTAAAATAGAATTATTTGATTGTTAAATCTATATCAAATAATCACTTGACTGGCTAAATTGCTTTTCTTATTTCTGTACATAGTTTCAAAACCATTTTGTTGTAATGTTTGATATTTCACTTTATAGGATTGATTTTGCTTGCACTTATGTAACCATTAAAGTATAGTTCATGCCGTTCGTTCTGTTTTTTCATCAAATGATAAGATTTGGGTTAATCGGTTGTAGCAAATGGATTGTTGTTTAAACCTTTCCAATGGTTATTCATATTATCGGCTATCCATATCGACTTACTGTATTTTTTGTAAATAAGAATTGGATATCAGGTGTTTATTATTCCAGTATGTTTTTACATATATTGAGATAAGTTGCTAAGGTCAGCAGGACAGTGTAAACCATAAATGTGTCTTACTTTATCAAATTCATATGTTATGGTGTCTATTTTATGACGTCATATTTCTGACGTCTTGAAATTGCCTACTGTATTTAAAATCCTAGATCTGCCATTGTATGAAAAGTCCTAAGAAATCCAACTTTCGGAACATGCTAAAATTTAGGATTTTTGCTGATGTAAAAATAAAATACCAGCATGCTTAAAGAATGGCGAAATTGACTTGTCACGTTTATTGAAACAAATCAAATTAAGACGATGATGTATTGTGAAAGCAGTATGTTTGTTATGTAATAGTGATTGAAGGTTGGATAAGAAACGATGTTTGTCGCACATTTCTCAGTTAATACTAGTGCACTATGACGCCTAGAACATCAAAACATTACATGTACAATATATCATTAAAACTATTTAAATGCTTTCTTCATTCTACGTTTCTCCTGATTTGACAAGATTTTTAGTTGAAACGGATAAACGCATCGCACTAGCTATAAAATAAACAAAAACACGACGCAAATTTTTCCAGCTGGAAAAAACGAAAAGTTAAAAACCGATAATCTTTAATTAGTAAATATATCTTGATTTAAGTTTGATCGACTTGGTTTTAGAAACAAATAGAGAATTTTTACTTTCTATTAAATGACTGTAATTAAGTCTACTTCATCGACTTTAAACAGTGTGCAGTTTTTACGAACAATTCAAATAAGATGTACCCTCTAGCTGTGCTCGACCACAGAGAAATAATCTGCATCAGCTAGCTAATTGCTTATTATGCCACAATACGTACGCAAGTATTAAGTCTTTGATGAACGATTGGTTTATAAAAAACTTTTGTATTTAACATTTGCAGGTTTACATTTTGGATCTCACATTTATTTTCCAATGACGGCAATAAAGCAATTGGTTTTCTGGGAGTAAAGTGCTTATACGAGTTGCAAGACAAAGATGTCATCAGGTCAGCATGTACACAACTAAATAAGAACTATTCTCGAGAAATGATTGAAGATGTTTCTTTTACTCCTGTTGATTCAAAAGCATTTTTCAATTTCTTTCTGAATGCAAACACATAAATGAGGTTGTGTTCAATCGTGTGAGTTTATTGATAATCATGTCTGCCTTGCAATGAAAAGTTTTATTAAACTGGACAGGCGACAAATTACTCTCTTTGCGTTTTGATTTATGTGATTTTAGTCGTTATTTTGAAATATCTCAGTGAAACTTTAAAATGTAACTTTACATTCACTGCATCTAGGAACTGATTAATCTAGAAAATGAAGGTGCTAAATATCTTAGTGAAGCATTGAAATTTGAGAATTGTAAAATTGCGGATTTAGGTATTAAAGAACCGATTTAGGTTATGAATGCGCTAAATATCTTAGTGAAGCTTTGAAAATGAGAATTGTATACTTACTGAATGCTTATTATGGAGCAATATAGGTGATCAAGGTGCTAAATATCTTAGCGTTGAAAAGTGAGAATTGTAAACTTACTCTATTAATTCTTGAAAAGCAACAAGATAGGTGATGAAGGCGCTAAATATCTTAGTGAAGCTTTAAAAAGTGAAATTGTAAACTTACTAAAATTAGATCTTAAAACAAAATAGGTGATGAAGGTGTTAAATATCTTAGTGAAGCTTTGAAAAGTGAGAATTGTAAACTTACTCAATTGGATATTTATAAAAACGATGTTGGTGATGAAGGTGCTAAGTATCTTAGTGAAGCATTGCAAAGCGAGAATTGTAAATTTACTGAATTGGATCTTCATGACAACAAGATAGGTGATGAAGGCGCTAAATATCTTAGTGAAGCTTTGAAAAGTGAGAATTGTAAACTTACTAACTTAAAACTTTCAAACAACAAAATAGGTGATGAAGGTGGAAATATCTTAGTGAAGCTTTAAAAGTAAGAATAAAACTATGTAGGTCTACAATTATAGAAGGCGAAGGTGCAAATCTCTAGTGAAGCTTTGAAAAGTGAGAATTGTAAACTTACTAAATTGCCTCTTTATTATAACAATATAGGTTATGAAGGTGCAAATATCTTAGTGAAGCAGAAAAGTGAAATTGTAAACCTCTATTGTATCTTGATAACAACAAGATAGGTGATGAAGGCGCTAAATATCTTAGTGAAGCTTTGAATAGTGAGAATTGTAAACTTACTAAATTGAATCTTGAGCAACAAAATAGGTGATAAAGGTGCAAAGTGTCTTAGTGAAGCTTTGAAAAGTGAAATTGTAAACTTACTGATTGTCTCTTGAATATGACAATATAAGTGATGAAGGTGCAAAATATCTTAGTGAAGCATTGAAAGTGAGAATTGTAAACTTACTCAATGGATCTTTTATTGACAACAATAAAGGTGATGAAGGCGCTAATTTCTTATTGAAGCTTTGAAAATGAAAATTGTAAACTTACGGGTGTACTTTTCTGCTTACAAAATTAGTAATCAAGGCACAAAATATTTTAGTGAAGTTTAAAAGTGAGAACTGAAACTTACTGAATACTTAAGATTGAACACTAACAACGTAGTTTGCAAACGGAAGGCCAAGTGCTAAGCGGCCAACCATTGTCTCTTGAAAGCATTCGTTTGCAGTGGTGTACTGGGCTCTGACTTGCTTCAATTTAAGGCCCTTTAGCCTTTTACTATTAGGGGACCATAAAAGTATACCCAAAATGTGATAATATATTGTCATAAACAACAATTTCTGCAGAATTAAGCTACCTAAGCTGTTTTAACTTTGCAAAATAATTCAGTGTTGTAAAAGAACAGTTAATCCATTTCCAATGACGACACCTCTCAAAGTACTTTTAAGTTAGTTTTGTGCATGCCGTTTGCCTGCTTTCATTTTATTTCTCAGTAAGGGGGCCTTACAATGGGCTCATATGCTATAGCGCATGCAATTGCTAGTAGAGCAGTCAAACCCTGATGCATACCTGTTATCGACATCTAATTTATGAGTAATATAGCCATTTTTCTTTTGTTTGCGCAATTGTATAGGTACTGTAGGTACAAAGCACTTATATTTTACTTCGTAAAATTCCACCTCTAGTTAAAAAGATTATAATTTTTATTTACTTTACATTAAATGAATAATTTATGTGCATTTTGGAACTTTCATTTCATGGAAACGTACCTTCATTTTACTTCATTTTGTAAAGTAAAAGTATTGTTTGATTTTTAGATGAACAATTTTCATTTGTTTGTTTTGTTAATTTTATAACATTTATGTAAATAGTAAAATTGTTACAAACAATGATAGACTGAAATGATGTTCAAATTTTAAGTAATAATGAAATTTAAATAATAAACATAAACACGAATATTTTTATAAAATCCTTTTCTGATGACAATTCGACAACATTCATACGAACGCAAAATTTGGAGTGTTTATTTAAGAAAAAGTTGTTTTCTTGTAATTGTATTTTGACTTCATTTAAAAGTCACTGACAACAATTAGCTTTTACAA